AACCACAGTTTGCCATTTTAATCATAAATATATAATCCTGTGTCATTAATCATGGTATACAACCATCCCCAATATATTTCCAAATACTTAAAATCACTCCAAACAGAAACTGTGGCAGCTCAGCAGTAGCTCCTCAGCCCATCCCTCCTCCTGCCCTGATAATCTCTAATCTGTCTTTCTCTTCTGTGAATCTGCCCACTGGGGACATTCCTGACTGGGGGTGTCTGTCCTTGGTGTCTGGTTTATCTCAACTGGCATAGCATTGTCAAGCTCCACTGTGCTGTATCCTGTGTCAGGACTTCAGTCCTTTCTGTGGCAGTGTGCTATTCCATGGGACATCAAGGTCACATTTTGCTTATCCACCCACCTGGGCTTCTCATCTTCTCATCAATCCCTTGGTTCATGATTGCACCAATTCTCCTGCTCAAAAGCCTCCACAGCTCTCTGTCTCTTATTGGGTGTCCCCAGTCCTTACCAACAAGCCAATTCTAGGTCAAACAGAAATACTGCCTATTGAACACGATGGTCTCTACTTCTCCTGCGTCTACACCTTTGCTGACATTGCCTCTTCCACCAGAAGGTTCTCCTGCTTCCTCAGGTCAAGGTCCTGCCCACCCTTTACACAGCCAGCTCCAGCCCACCTGCTGCATTACTCTGGCTTCTTCCTCAAGCACACAGAGACCCCACTCTACTCAGCTCCCCCAGGCCATCGCAGTGTGGCATCTGATCCCTTCTTTAGTGCCTCTGCTGTCTGTGCTGTACAGTAAATATCTGCCCAGTGGACCCTGTTCATTCAAAGGACAGAAAGTTGAATCAGGCCTGGCAGCCTCACTATAAGACTGTACCAAAAGACATTTACATTTTACATGAATTAAAACCAATTCCTTATGACAAAATTCAGTACTGAGGAGATGATACTGAACCACGGAGAAGATATTAACTGAAAGGGGAATCAGAATTAATGGGATCTCTGATATCTAGCAAAGCACAGAGCATGGTTTCTATTTTTATGCAGAAAGGAAGCACTGTTACGAACACCGCTGAGACTCATGGGATAGTCTCGGGAACAGGGTCCAGCAGGACAGAGCAGAGCACAGGTCTCCCAAGAGGAGAAAGCCAAGCCACGACTTTGGGAAGTCTCCTCCTTGGGGTCCAGGTTGTGGACAGTGCCCTCCCCTTGGGCTGGCTATGACTGGTGTATGCAGCAGGTAGAGTCTTCCCGTCTTGCTGTCTCACTCTTTCTGTTACTGGGGAAATAGTAGTTAGAGAGGAGTCGGAGGAGCTGGCCCTTGCAGGAGGTGAAGAGACCCCTTCTGATTGAGTAGGGAGTGTGCCCACCTTGTGGCAGGAAAAGGCCCTGCTCACCCTTGCAGTCCAAATTGTCCTGGGCAAAGTCTGCACATGCACAGACAGCTATGGCCTCTGAGTGCTTGTGCTTGGGCTCCAACCTTCAGAGGGATGCAGATGTGGTACAGAACCAAGTCTCCTGCTCTGGCCAGACCATTACGGAGCGATGTAAAGAATCTCAGCAGAGAACCATGGGTCCTGAGTGTGTGACAACTCACTAACAGCAAATGTCTCTGCATGACCCCAGGAAATAGTCCAGACACCTTGCAAGAAGGTGTCACCCAAGAGGGCAAGTGTCACTCAACAGCTCGCCAGCGAAGTCTCACTCGCAATGCCTGCACTTCCGCCTCAAGGACCAGGGCAGGGCTGTGACACTACCCCAACCACAGCCGTGTGCAGGACACTGTCCTCGGTGCGGGGAATAGCTGAGGACAGGGAGGAATGTGTGACAAATGATCGTGTGGCCTGTGATCCACCAAGAAGACTGGGGTGGGGTGCACGCACATAAAGATTTAAAAGGTGATGGCATGTGGGTAATGATGGTGACTGTGCCTTGAGGACAGAACTCACCCCTGCCCCAGTGAGCTGGCTCTGTCACACACAGTGGTCTGTGGGGCACTTCATGGCACAGGCATCAGCCAACGTGTGCCCAAGTAACTTCACCCGTGTTCAGAGATCAGAAGACTCATTGCTAATGGCCAGAAGTCCAGTCAGGAGGGTGTACAAGTTAACCCTGGGGATAAGGCTCCCTTTCCTGCCATATCCACTCAGCTTGAGGCAAGGGTTTTTTCTGAAGTGTAAGGGGTTTGAGAACTCCTATGTTTGGTAACATTTAGCTCATAGAAAACTAGTTTTTAAACAACCAAGGCAACTGCTGCTATCAATACAAGTTTAAAACAGTGAAGATAACAGTTAAGGGGGTACAGTCCTTGAAGCCAGATGCCCAGGTGGTTTGAATTCAACTCTGTGATCAGTTTGAGGCTGGCCTTGGACAGAAGTTGCTTACTAACTCTCTGGTTCTCAGCACCCATGGCGTGTAAATGAGCGTGGAAATACTTCCTGGTAATGAAAAGATCACTGAGTGAATATATGCCAGCTCCTAAATGGCCCCTGGTATGTACTAAACGGCCAATAGGTGAAGCAACCAGCAGAGCTCGCAGGACAGGATGAGGGGAGCTATGCTGGTTCTCCTGGGTTACAGAGTTCAGCAGACCTTGCTTCATTGTTGTCTCATCTTGAAACCTGTGCCGGTGTCTTCGGCACAACAGGTATCTTATAGCTGGGCATGGGAGTACACACCTGTGGCCCCAGCACTCAGGAAGCTGAAGCAAGTGGATCACCATGAGTTCAAGGTCAGCCTGAGCTACATAGTGAGTGCAAATCCAGCCCAGAATACATAGGGAGACCCTATCTCAGAAAACAACAAGCAAAAGACGATGCCATTCTCATTACTGCCTGGAGTCCATCATCAAATAACTGGATTTCTAGAGGAGCTCACTGGTGTGGGCGCACCATTGCATGCTGCCTACCCAACATCGGGGGCTGCCTCTGTCCTGACTGGCTCCCTTTATCTCCCTCTCCATCTCCTCCTGCAGATAAATCCAGCTGGTCCTCTTTTGACCTCCAGATGTTACAGGGTTAGAATAGAAAGCCAACAGTTGTTATGGGCATTCTGTGTCCATGAAGAGAGTCAGCCAACATCCTTACTGCGACAGTCCAAAAGATGGACAGGCGATGCTCTGCCTGATCCCCCAGGGTGTCACTAAGCCACCATGGTCATCAGCTGAAATGGCCTCCCATATCCTCAGAGTCTGGGAGGTCAGGGTCCTTTTACTGGTGAAGCCACTGGACATAGGGTTCTCTATGATTTGCATTGTAACATGCTAATTATACATGAGTTTCTGGAGGATTTCAAATTTGGGAACATTAACTTCAGTGAGTTGAAATATTCTTGGATTGCACTTTTCCCCTAGAATTCTGTAATCAGCGATTCCTTCTTTGTCTGACATTAAAACCTACTGTGGGGCCAAGGATTTAGCTCAGTGGTTCAAGCACTTGCCAGGTAAGTACAAGGTCATGAATTCAATCCCCAGTTCCAAAATAAATAAATAAATTAAATTAAAGTGGTTTTTTTAAAATCCGATTATTTAAAAAAAACATTTAAAAAAAAATAAAACCTACTGTGGAGAAATCTGACCTGAAGCAGATTCTCTGAGAAGCCCAATCATGTATGCAGGACATCCTGGTTTTGCTTGTTCTCTATCATTTGTTCTTAGAATACAGAACTGTTAATATGCATATTAATTCCCTTTGTTTTGGAAACATGGATGGAAAAAAAATCAATTGTGAGATTCTCTTTTAGTTGCTTAAATATGTCCATCTTTTTTTTTTTTTTTTTTCCTTTTCTGTAACTGATTCAAGGCTGTCCTCTAAGTCAGAACTCAGCCGAACAGTACCAAGTCTAGTCATTGGTTCTTCTACTTTTCTCTTCTGGACTGCTTCTGATTTTCATTTGACTTCCTTAGCTGTGTCAACCTTCTTTTCCTCCTCTTTTTGTGGTGCTACAGCCTCAGTAATTCTTGTTTTATTAAGTAAATGCTCTGATTAGCGTTTCCTGTCACAAGAAACACACATAAAAAATGTCTTTTCTTTTCTTTGATTCTTCATATGCTTCTCGCAGTCCTTTCTCTTCCAGTTTCAATGCCCTCTGAGATTTGAGTACGCCATTTCGGTGTATTTTATTCGTATTTAGCATGTGTTGTCTTGACGAATCTACCGTTTGCTTATAAAGTGAGTGAGCTCTCTTTGACCCTCTGCCCACTGAGTGATTCCCGAGCTGCCTCACTGTTACCCACTCTTCCACGGCCTGGGCACCCTGGGCACCCAGTGAGGACGAGCCCTACCCGCCTTGTCTGTGCAAGGCCAGCGCTCTGCTTTCTCTCTGAGATCCGGTTTCCAGCAAACTCTTTATCCCACCAGCGCTTCTCAGGGGGGCAGCCTACTCCTACGACACCGTGCCTTTTGGCTTGAATTTTGCCTCATGTCCTGCAGGCTCCTAGAAAACAGCCAGCCACTTCCCCGCTCCCCTCGGATCCTGCAGGTAGGAAGGGCAGCTTTCTATCCCGGATCGGTTTCCTCCCCAGTGGGGTTCCCAGGGCGTGGGCTGAGCTTTGGCCACTTATTCACAGAGCGCAGAGTTTCAGGTCTGTAGTGCAGACTACTCGTATTTCTCACTCAACTCCTCCAGTATTGAGTGTGCGCTGGTTTCCAGTCCTCTTCTGCTAGTTTCATCAGTAACCGTGGTTGGGGGGAGCGAGCCTGTGCCCCCATGCAGTCTAGCATTCTCATGCGATGCCTCACCACGCTCCCCACTGTTCAGTTCTTTCGGAAAGTGCAGGTCCTGGGGTTTCCAAATAAATCTCAACATCGCTAAGGATGAAGAAAGACCAGCAGGGCTGAGGGCGCTGCGGACCAGGCAGCAGGAGGAGCACACGCGGGGACACGAGCCCCTCACCCCACTCTTGGGAAGCAGAGGGACCCACCGCGCGCCCCTGCCAAGCGCTCACAGCACCCGCTCAAGTCCTGCCAGCTGTTACCATGGCAACAAGGTTCAAGAGCGCAGGCGCCAAGCGCTCAGAGCTGAAGCACCGCCCTCAGAGCAGCATTGCGCAGGCGCAGCGTCCCGTTGCTAGGGCCCCTCACGCCAGCAAAGTTGAGGCTCCTCTACCGCTTAGCTCCAGCGAGCGAACTCCGCTCCCTGCCTTTGCGCCCGAACTGTGAGGCGCCCCAGCTGTCGACCTTCCCTACCCTCAGTGGCAGGCTGTTTCTGGTCTCTGTCGGTCCCTCTAAAGAACCGGCAACCCCTGAACCCCTAGGCGCTCCTGGTGGTGCCTCACCTTCGCGGTTGGCCTGTCTTCTGAGAGGAAAGGAAGGATTCCCGGCGGGCCAGGAGAAGACTGAAAGTAGCCAGCCATGTCGAACGCGTAAGTGATGGGCTCTGGCTATCACCACGGGTTGGGATATGATTCCTCTCCTCCTCCTCCTCCTCCTCCTCCTCCTCCTCCTCCTCCTCCTCCTCCTCCTCCTCCTCCTCCTCCTCCTCCTCCTCCTCCTCCTCCTCCTTCTCCTCCTCCTCCACCACCACCACCACCTCTTCCTCCTCTTCCTCCTCCTCCTTCTCTTTCTTTTTAACTGTTAGCAGAGTCAGTATGTCTCAGGTTGGAGTGTCCACTCTTGTGAACAAGACTATTCCACACTTAGAGCTCCGCTCTTTCCTGTGCACACTGCACCCTTGCTGGTGTGTTGCTGAGAAGCTTCCGGTCATCTTCCACAATGATCAATAAGTTGCTTGTGAAAACTCTCAGCTGCCAAAACTTCCGTCAGTCCAGAACTTGAGGAAGCATCGTTTGCTTAAGTCCCTAACTTTAAACCCTACTTTTAAACCCTGCTGCGTGGTTTTAGGGAAGAGACATCGCATCCCCTTACAAGGCGTGTTTAAAATCCAAGGAGCATTTTCACATCCCTTGTCCCCTCCCTCAGGCAGCCCTCGTGTCCAGGGCAGGTATCCTCATGCAAATTTGCCTTCTGGGGAAGCGTGGGCACTGGGCAGCTGGAAATGCCGCAGACAAGCTGCTGCAGGAGGTGGGGTCTGTTTTAAAACCACTGCACCATAACTTTAAAAACCACCTTGCAGTCGTTAGAAATATAAAATGATGCATCCGCGTAACAACGTAATAACGTGCAGAATCCAACAACAGCAACTCTCACAGTGGCAAAAGGGTAGGGACAACCCGGGTTCCTCCGTCACCCTTGGAGAACTGGCTGCCAGTCAAAAGTAGCGGCCATGCTACAGCGTGGCTGTCCTTTGCAAACATGAGCTAAGCTGACGCCTCCAGCCACAAAAGGCTGCATAATCCATGATTCTGTGCACACAGGGTCCACAGCTTACGCTTCCTCTCAACCATGTTGCCAGTGACCAGTTCACCGTGGTGGGGAAGCATGTGGGTTCAGTAGGATTTTCAGCGCTGCTCTTTTCTCTGGCAACACGCACATTTCCCAGTGAGCCCCTTGGCCATGACGAGGACAGTGCACATACCACAGAGTGCATGGTGCTGTGCTGGGATGACCCACACATTAGGACACATTAAGTGTATGAGGTGTGACTGAAAAGTGTAGTGTGCATTTCAGTTTTTTAAAATATATCACAATAAAAGACTTGTTGGCATGAATCCCCCTCAAAATACTTCCTGCTTTGGATTCAATGCAATCCCGATAAAAATACCATCAACATACCTCATAGATCTCGAGAAATCAATCCTAAAATTCATCTGGAACCAGAAGAGACCTAGAATAGCAAGGACAGTTCTAAGCAGCAAAGGCAAGGCAGGAGGCATCACAATCCCTGACTTGAAGTTATACTACAAAGCAACAGTAGTAAAATCAACATGGTATTGGAATCAAAACAGAGCCGAAGATCAATGGAATAGATTAGAAGATACAACCACAACTACAAACACACTCAACCACCTCATCTTTGATAAAGGGGCCAAACAGGTTCACTGGAAGAATGACAGTCTCTTTAATAAATGGTGTTGGAAAAACTGGCTCTCCATATGCCGAAAACTAAAACTAGACCCATGACTGTCACCATATACTAAAATAAAATCTAAATGGATCAAAGATCTAAATATTAAAACAGAAACACTAAATCTATTGGAAGACAAATTGGGTAAAAACCTTGAAGACATAGGGGTAGGTAGAGAATTCATGAACAAGACTCAAACCACACGGGAAATACTTCCCAGAGTCAATAACTGGGATCACATCTTATTAAAAAGTTTCTGTACATCGAAAGAAATCTCTAACATAGTGAAAAGAAAACCCACAAACTGGGAAAAAATCCTAGTGAACTGTCCCTCAGACAAAGGACTTCTGTCTAAAACATACAAAGAATTTAAAAAAATCAGACCCCCAAAATTCAAAGACCCCATCCAAAAATGGGCATCGGAGATGAATAAACAATTTTCAGATGAAGAAATACAAATGGCAAATAAATATATGAAAAAATGTTTAGCATCACTAGTCATTAGAGAAATGCGAATTAAAACCACACTGAGATTTCATCTCACTCCTGAAAGAATGGCCAAGATCAAGAAAATCACCAACAACAAATGCTGGAGAGGCTGTGGGGAAAAAGGAACTCTCCTGCACTGTTGGTGGGAGTGTTGACTGGTGCAACCATTGTGGAGGTCAGCCTGGAGATTTCTCAGAAAGCTGGGACTGGAAGCACCATTTGACCCAGCTATTCCACTCCTAGGCATATTCTCAGAAGAACTGAAAGCATCAGACCACAGTGATATATGTGCACCCATGTTTATAGCAGCACAATTTGTAATAGCCAGATCTTGGAAACAACCTAAGTGTCCATCAACTGAGGAATGGATAAAAAAGTTGTGGTATTTTTATATAATGGAGTACTACTCAGCTATAAAGAATGATCACACTGAGACATTTATAAATAAATGGACGCAGCTCGAGACCATACTTATAAGTGAAATAAATCAAACTCACCTGTATAAATACCGAATAGTTTCCCTAGTGTAAGAAACGATAAGAATACATGAAAGTACGTGGTAATCATGATTCCCAGTCACACTGGTTTGAAGCCATATGATGTTTTCACTCATTCCTTGGAATGGTTTTAATTTGGGTGTTTTTATTTTATTGTCTGTGGTACTACAAATGACTATTTTGAAGAGAATAAGAGCGTAATAGCTAGCACTGATTTAATATCATCCTGTTTTGAAGCCCCATCAAGTTTTTGTTCATTTGTTTCCATCGGTTCTAACATGTGGTACCTTATTACATCCTAATGTATGCGATAGTATAAGCAAGCTTTTTATAGACAAAGAGATAATATAGAAATTGATGTTTGGTTTCTGCTAGCTGGTTCTAAATTCCCTGCAACAATTTCATTCTCTTGAATGGTCTCACACTGTCTTGATAAATTTGAGGCTATAGTATACGAAGTTAGACTCAAATAGTTCAAGGAAAGAGTCACTATGGTAACTACTATTAATGTCAAGCTATCTGGGGGTGAAACACAATGATGGTTAAATTTTTCGATTCTGACCAGTGTTGTTATATTGATACATTCTTTTTTTTTTAATCTCAGTCTCCCCCCGCCCTTTTTCTTTCCTTTTTTTTAAAAAAATTAATTTATTTCTTAGTATCTTTTAACTAAGGGAAAATTAAATTAAAAATAGTGTGATAGATTATAGTAATTTTTTTTGTTGCCCTATTAACCTGATTTGAACCCCTGTAGTGTTCTCCACATCTTGTTCTGACTGATTTTATTATATTCTGTTTCACTTAATAGTATCAAGTTTGAGGGTGTAGGCAACCATTTGGAAGGCAACCAGATATTCTATGATGCCCGTTATTATTTGACTATTATCTTCTTTGAAATCCTGTAAGCTCTCCAATGTGGCTTTATTGGTCTTATGTACAGTTTTGTTCAATTCTTTTATACTAGCTGATATAGGCTACTCTTTTTAGGATAACAAGAGGCATAATGGTAACCATTGTTGATCACCTAGTAATCCCCCCCACTTTATTTTTTATTTATTTTTTTTTTCATTTTATGCTATGTCCATCCTCCTAATCTAAATGACTCTGTTTTGCTTTGTCACATTGGGTTTTTCTTTGGTCCGTCTTGTTTTTTGTTTTTTGGCCTTTTTTTCAATCATTTTTCTTTTCCTCTTCAAAGAAAAAGTTAAAAAAAACTGTGGAAGTAATGGAAACTAAAATGCGCGATTGTTAGTGTAAAAAAAAGAGGAAGGAAAGTGATCTCAAGGATATAACTGCAAGTTTATTTAAATGTGTAGGAAAGAGAACCATATTGCTGAGTTTTTCTTGGATCATTGAACAGAACTGACTGCAATCTCACTGTATTAATCTCCACTTTGTATGCTTTAATTTTGTAATCTGATAGCTGTTTGTAAGTTGACAATGTGTGATGTATTAACTGATGAACTCTTACTGTATGTTTTTTCTCTTGAAATTCTGTGTTGCTTCTAGCCTTTTACTGTCTTGCTTCGTTTAGTTTTGTTTTTCTCTTTTAAATAAAAAAAAATCCTTGATAATACTTCCTGCTTTGAATACATTGATCCCATCATTCTTGACACTTTCTAAAGCAGCTCTGAAGTCTTCGTGAATGTCTTTACTTGCATTCGTATGACTGCCTTGAAGCCCTAGGTTGATTCAAAATATTTGCCATAATGGTCATTTGGACTTTAGGGAGGAGCCCAAAGCCACATGGTGGCAGATCCAGTGACAGAGGTGGATGAGGACCCAGCGTCATGCTTTACAAGCTGCCTTTCCACCAGCTAGTGCTTGGTCACAGCATTCACATTTTTTACCCACCTCATGAAGACACACAGGAAAGAGGACACCCAGAACTGCTGCGGAAGGCAGTGAGGACAAGGGGATGAGTGTGCTTGAGGTCGGGGGAGGGTTTTGAGGGGGATTCGTGGTGGCGCATTTAGTGTAATCATTTTTAAAATGAAACAGTCACTGTGCTTTTCAATCAGCCCTTGCACAAAACCCACTGTTGGTGTGATATTTTCAACTCACAGCAACTTTAATCAAAGTGCAAACCCATACACAGTCAAGGAACACCTGTCTAGGAGGTTTCTGGGCACAGAGAGGCAGAGCAGGATTAGTGGTGGCTAAGGGTCAGGAGGACTAGGGACTGGGGAGGGATCGTATCATGGGTATGGGTTCCTTTGGCAGTGATGGAAAGCTTCTAGAATCAGACAGTGGGGACAGTGGTTCAGTGCGGTGCCTGTCCTGTAAGCCATGGACTAACCCGAGGGGACAGTGCAGCTGACAGTATGCAGGGCGTGTCTCCTGATGCTCTTGTGATAGCCTGTCTTGCCACCCCCCTGCCTTGTGTTGTATCATAAGATGGCCAGGTGGGACC